GGGAAAAGAAGAGGAGAGAAAAGGGTTATGAAATGGTAAAAAAGTCTTAAATAGCGTGTATAAAACGTGTATACCCGACCCGGCGTGTACATAAAGCTTTCCTCATTTTTCATTATTATTCCAATTACAAAACGTTCCCTCCGCCTTGTCATATTCTAGAAGTAGATTCATCAAGACACTCAGACACTACGTTCAAGCATATCATAGATTGCCATGAATATGAATTCTCCCTTTGCCATTAATAGTATTCCACCATCTACTTTGTTATTCAGAATCATAATCATAAGTAAACAATAAAGCAAAATACTACGTAAATTTTTACATTTTCTCTTGATGTTGAATAGAGCGTGAATTGATCGAAAAAAACCATAGTTGAAAAAAGAACAAATTTTCCTTTTTAGAAGTAACCGTAGTTTGGACTGATTTTCAGTTTCAATCAGATCTGGCAACTTGAGATGGTGGTAGGTTTAGCAAGGCCTTCAAAGATAACAATGATGTTTTTACTTGGACTGTTATTTGCTGGTCTGGTATGGTTTGACCTGGTTTGTCTAAGTCTGGTATAGTGTGAACTGGTCTAATAAACGTTTGGTCTCTGTGTATTTTATAACTATGAAAGTCTAGTCTGGTCTGGTCTGTTTAAGCCTGGTCTGATCTGGAATGTTTAAATCTGATATGGTCTAATTAGGGGTTGTGTTTAGTAAAATTATGGTTGCATTAGAAATACTCAAATACCCAAAGTTAAATCCAACTTGATTCATTTGTTATTTTTACATTAAACCCTATATTGGTGGGGCGGAAATATGAACTCTCGAAAATACTGCGGTTAACAAGTAATCCTCACTGGCCCGACAGTATTAATTGACAGTATAGGGACTGTCTTGCAAACTTATACCCCGCTTGGCTATAGGCTGGCGGCCCTGCTTAAACCCTATTAAAACCGAAATATTGCTTCAAGTCTCCAGTTTCCAGTTCACACACCCATGGCTTTGTACCTGTTGTTTGAATCCGCCTCCGGCTATGGGCTGTTCCTGGCAAATGGACTCGATGAAATTGGTCAGAATACGGAGGCGATTCGGAAGTCAGTCCTCGACCTCAACAGGTTCGGCAAAGTTGTGAAACTCATCGCGTTTAACCCATTCGATTCTGCCCTCGATGCTCTGAATCAGTGCAACGCTGTTTCCGAAGGTCTGTATATCTCCGAAATCCATTTTTATGCAGTATAGTTGGATGTTTGTCAGCTGCATGCGCAGACTACTTCGTTTTAGTTTCAATAATGCACATTCACGCGTCAAACTGATACGTTGATCAATATATTTTAGCAAAATGTGTTTTTGCGGTGTTGGATAATTCCGTGCGGGATTTATTTAAGCTTAATAGTTTGTCTTTTGCCCAAAAGCTAGTTTAATGCGTTTTTATGAATGTGTTTAGGGCAAATGACTGATGAGTTGAGGAATTTCTTGGAGCTTACACTCCCTAAAGTTAAGGAGGGAAAGAAGCCTAAGTTCAAACTAGGACTTGCAGAGCCTAAGCTTGGTTCTCATATCGTTGAAGTAACTAAGATTCCTTGCGAAAGCAATGAGTTTGTTCTAGAGCTTCTGCGTGGTGTTAGGTTGCATTTTGAGAAGTTTATTGGAAATCTCAAGGTTTGCATTTTATTACATCTTCATTTATCTGGTTACTTCTCAAGTGTCCCGCAATATTTAAGATCTACTCGTTTGCAATCTTGTAATGGGAATACAGTCAGGTGACATTGAGAAGGCCCAGCTGGGGTTAGGTCACAGTTATAGCAGAGCAAAGGTCAAGTTCAATGTTAACCGTGTTGACAATATGGTTATTCAAGCAATATTCTTACTTGATACTCTTGATAAAGATATCAACACATTTTCAATGAGAGTCAGGTATATATACTGTCTGCCTTTCAGCAAAACTATATAATGACTTTTTTTTTTGTGATTTCTAGTATTTAGCAAAAGAAAATCGATAATGCATGCTTTCTCATATGTTTTCCTCTATTAAGTCTTAATTTTGAATTTCAATCTCTACTACAGAGAGTGGTACTCATGGCACTTCCCAGAACTTGTGAAGATTATCAATGACAACTATTTATACGCCAAACTTGCAAAGTTCATTGAGGACAAGTCACAACTATCTGATGATAGCTTGCCGGACTTAACAGAAATAGTCGGGGATGAAGATAAAGCCAAAGAAATAGTAGTCGCTGCCAAAGCTTCCATGGGTAAAAATATATTTGAAATTACCTTTACTCAACTCCAATTTTGACTCCTTTTATCTGTATCTCGTTTCTTTCTTTTTCAGGCCAAGATTTGTCTCCTGTCGACCTGATCAATGTCAAGCAACTTGCACATAGAGTAATGGATCTTGCTGAGTATAGGAAGAATCTCTATAATTATTTGGTCTCTAAGATGAATGACATAGCACCAAACTTGGCTGCATTAATTGGTGATGTTGTAGGGGCCCGTTTAATTTCTCATGCTGGTAGCCTGACAAACTTGGCTAAATGTCCATCATCTACTCTCCAAATACTTGGAGCTGAGAAGGCTCTCTTCAGGTCTTGTACTCCTGATCTCCCCTCTGCATGTAGATTATGTTTTATATTTAAATTTCCAATGATGTTTCATTGGATGGCCGTTGATGCTTTCTCAATCTCTGTTGACTTTTTGAGTAGAATTTAAAAATGCTAGGAGAAGGGGAAACATGCCTAGGATCCCGAAATGCTTTTAATGTTATCAAGTTTTATTTGTAGATGTTTTGATATCTTAGTCTTTTTTACAATAGAAATGAATAAATGAGATGAGTTTGAACAAAAATCACAAATTAGTTTAGTGTGTTTGAACCGTTGTTTTTCCTATAATCTTTGTTCCTAAAAAATCCCCTATATTTCATATATATTTTCATATTCTAAGGTTTTCTGAGTAACAATAAGAGCATTAATTATTTTAAGTTTCTAAGTTTAATACTACCTTGTGAGTGCAGAGCATTAAAGACTAAAGGAAACACACCCAAGTATGGGCTCATATTTCATTCTTCTTTCATTGGCCGTGCTGGTGCTAAGAACAAAGGGCGAATGGCTCGTTATCTTGCAAACAAATGCTCTATTGCTTCACGCCTTGACTGTTTCCTAGGTGTGCCTTAAGATTCCATTAGACAAAAATAGTTTTTTTGTGTGTGTTTATTTCTTCAAATCAAGGTGTTAATCTTTTGTGCACACAGATAGCAGCACTAATAAATTTGGGGAGAAACTTCGTGAGCAAGTTGAAGAGAGACTTGATTTCTACGATAAAGGAGTGGCACCACGCAAAAACTTGGATATGATGAAAGCTGTAATTGGAAGCCTTGAAAATGAAGGTATGCTGTATGATGCTTTTGACATCCTTGATATGTGATTTTTTCCAAAATAAATAAGATTATAAAACTGATGAAAATGGACATGTAAATCATTCGTCATTTCTCAAACTCTTCATGAGCACCTCTGTGGTCTGTTTTATTGTTGCTATGTCATTTATTCATTTTCCCCAGAAACTGCCAGAATCAAATAAGTTATGTTTGGGATGCAGAAAATGGCAGGGGAAGGAAATAGATCAGAAACAGTTTTTTACTTTATTTTTTTGTTTTACTTTAGACAGTACAAATGAAAACCAAATTTGATTAAAAGTTTTAATTTCTTTACACATTTATAATATTAGCCTGCATGTAATAAAAATGCATAAGATAATTTGAATGTGTATAAATATCTAAAATTTATTTACTGAGTTTGAAGAATCCCCCACCCGGACTATACATCTTCTCATCCAATGTCCTCTTTTTTTTAATATGTGAATCCAATGATATTCTAATATCTGCTGAGACTGATATTGTTCTTCTCAATTTGTAGACTCCGCTATGGATGAAGACAAAACGCCAAGTGAACCATCATCAGCAAAGAAAAGCAAGAAAAAGAAATCCAAGGGTGAGAATGAGCAACAAATGGAAGAAGATGAACCTGTTGAGAAAAACGTTATTGACTCTGAAGAACCAAAGAAAAAGAAAAAGAAGGAAAAACGGAAAGCAGAAGAGCAGAAAAGTGTGGATGAAGAAACTGCAAATGGCATAAATGGGGTTGATGCCGTGAATGGGTCAACAAAGAAGAAGAAAAAGAAGAACAAGGGTGCGGATGAAGATTTTCAAGCACCTGTTGCTGGAAGTAAAAAGAAAAAGAAGTCCAAGGTTGAAGATGATGAATGAGCGAAAATTATTCCCAGCAGCAGCAGTAGGAGGCTAGCTTGTTGTGGTCTTCTTTTAATGTCATATTTTGAACTTTTGAGTGGCTGTACCTGTAAGCCAGTTTTTGTTTGTTTAACCATGGGGGTAGTTATATTTCTTCTACTAGATATCATCTCTGTAGCTTTTGTTTCTGCTATTATAGACTTCTATATTTATTTCCGTTTTTTTGAACATTTTTTTCGCTTTAAGTTGTCTGATTGTTGTGAGAGTAACATATTTGTATTTCTAGTCCTCACTCCTCACAGTCACATGATACTGATGACTGATGAGAGGATATTTTGGCATTTGTTTTGATATTTTGGCCTTTAATTCTTTGACCAAGATCTAGTGATGGACTTGGTCTTGGTCTTGGTTCTAGGCTGAGGAGGCCTGCCGGTCCAGAATATTTTGTTTGGCCTGGGTCAGTCCGGTCCCAGCCGAAACTGGTTCCTGTTATTTTCTTTCTATCCTTTTTGGCTGGACCGAAGCCTAACAAAATTGGACTGAGATTGAAACTGGGAACACGAAACTGTCTGGTTCGGTGACACTTCGGTCTCCAAAACTGTGAACCATGATTGGGATTGCTTGGTACCCGGTCTTCACCCGGGACTGTTTATGGACCCGGTCTGGCCCCACACAGTAGCTGGCCTGGTTCTGGAGCGGTTCGGGACTGCTGACTAGGTCCACCCCTACCAAGATCCGTTTGGACTTTTGACTGATAGTTTTAGTTCTCTAACAATCATGACTGTAGGACTTGTGGCTCTATATTTAAAGACTCAAGTTCCAAAAGGAAGTGAAAGATTTCAAATGGGCTATAATTTTCATGACGGAAGAAAACCACTAATTTTCTACTCTGTAGTTTACAGATATTTATTTCATTCACATATTTTTGCACATACACTCTGGCACAGGATAAGCCAGTACGTCCCGATCCACCTTATTAGTCCTCTGCTCTGGCTGCCCTTGACATTTCTTGTGCAGTTTCTTCATGACATGGCTGAACTCTTCATCGGAGATGGAGGGATCATCCAGGACTGGGAACATCATTCTCTTGTTCGGCTTTATATACTTTCTATGTCCTATGTATGCTCGATGTCCCTGCCAAAATACCAATAAGCTTAATACTTATTAGGGTCAGTTTGAAATCAGGAAAATGCTAGGGAAAAAATAGAGGAAAAGAGATGGAAGGAATAAAGCAATAACCAGAAGAAAAAAAAAGCAACTAAGAAAACAAGGAGGTAAAACTTAGGGAAAAATCCATTTTCCCTTGTTTACTTTTGGAAAATCTCTCGTTTCTCTCCAATCTGGAAGTACTATTCACCACTCTTTATAAAATCTACCTTTTCATCTTACCTATATAGCAAGTTGAATCATAATTTAACTGCATTATAGCATTATAGAATTATAGGCTTATAGCATTATAGGCTTATAGCATTTGATTTGGATGTGTACACATTTTTGTACACATGGTGTACATCCTCCTAGTTGTTTGTCTATACATGCAATTCATTCAGAAGATTCCTGTATACAAACAACTAACATGAATGTGCACCACATGTGTACAAAATGTGTGTACACGAAACATTACTCTAGCATTAATTCACTCCACAAATACTAATTCAAAGAATAAAAAATCAAATTTGTGTACTCTCACTTTCTGAGTCACTTTACTCCAATCCAATTGTAAGATGTGATTATGAATAGCCCCCTTCTTATTTTCCTCTCATCCCATTTAAAATAATCAAAGACAGACTACCATGTCCAAAACATGTAAGCAATAGAAAAATTAATCATATTTCAGGCTTCTTTTGCATTTTTAGAGACAAAAACCGAACATAAAGAAACATCTTAACATTCTTTGATCTCCATTCTACTCCCTCCGTATTTATATGATCTCTACATTAGGTGTTGGGACAATATTTAAGGGGAGAATAGTAGGGGTAATAAATAGTGTAGAAAAAGTAGGAGAATAGGTAAAAGGGTAGGAAAAAGAAGATAAAAAGTAGAAAACGTAAGGGTAATTGAGTATTTGTAAAAAAAAAAAAACTTACCAAAAAGGGAAAGTGTAACAAACTTTTAGATACATCCCAAATGGAAAAGTGTAACAAACTTTTGAATATGGAGGGCATATTATTTATTTATTTACGTAGTATTATTTATTTATTTATTTATTTATTTATTTATTTATTTATTTATTTATTTATTTATTTATTTATTTATTTATTTATTTATTTATTTATTTATTTATTTATTTATTTACCTCAAGAGCTCGGCCCATGTTCCCGCCATGGGAAGTGACCAGAACGTCACTGCTAAGTGAAACGACGTAGTCTATAGCAGCAAAAACCGAAGCTTTGTCCACGTAAGGCGCCAGCTCTCCTTCCCGAGCCAACCCGAGCTTACTCATCAGGTTCGGGAACTCTTCCCTCAACCCATCCAGCGCCCGGGCCCCACCAAACGGCTCTCCGCCGGCGACGTACACCCTCGCGTCCCGCGGCGCACCCAATCCTTTAAGCAGCCTCGCAATCTCCCCGGCGTTTAACGGACACATCCCGGCGGCTCTCCTGACGGCGTTTGTGACGTTTTTCATCTTTCTCGTCTGGAGATCCGGGTGGGATTCCCGTTCTCTGCGGATGATTCCGTCGAGCTGTTCGCCCAAGCCGGTGGCGCAGCCGCTCCTCATCCACACGTCCTTTTCCAGCCGGAGGTGGACGGCGATGTACGGCCCTTCTATCCACATCCTCCTCGCGAACCGGTGGCTGAGGTCGTGAATCGGGGCGGCGAATCTCAGCGCGTGGAATGCAACCTTGCAGCGAAGCTTCTGGAGATCCGGCGGAAGATTCTTCGAGAGCCTCGAATCTAGGCCTTTCAGTATTAGCAGACCTTCTTCATTCAGCTAAACAGAATTAAACAGCACTAACCAGATTAACCCTTTGCCCGGAAACATCAATTGATCAATATAATTGCTCTGTTTCAGTGATTCGGGTTCTCACCTGTTTGAAGAATTTGGCGCGTAACCAGAGAGGAGAAACATGAAATGGAATCCGAGTTTCAACCCTTTGCCTGGAAACCAAATGTGAGGATGGCAATGAAGAAACAACTCGGACGTCAGATTTCAAGACGTTCTTGAAATGTTCCACGTCAAAAATCTCTGAGAATTCACTGCAAAAAGCCAAAATCGTTATTTATTTTCATTTCCCAGAGTAAAAAACGAAGAGAAATCAAGTTTTTCTCATAAAAGATTATACCTTTCGTCCTTCCAGATGCGGTTGACTTGAAGAACAGGGACGACCAGGGCGGCTTCAAGAATCCTGGCTATGACAACCGCATCCACGATTTCATTCCGCTGCTGGTTCAGTCCGCCGGAAACCACCACCACCAAGAACCTCCTCTTCTCTTTAGAAATCGCCGCCGACGCTTTCCGGTACTGGGGGCTGAAATGCAGGCAGGGACGGAACCCTTCGTCATCTGGCTGGCGCCAGAACTCCCTCTCCTCGTCGGAGATGTTTCCGGCCACCACCCGTTTAGGAGGGAGTGGATCCATTGCGTCCGCGGACATGGACAGGTGGCTCTGATCGGGGAACAGAACAGTGGCGTAAGAAGGAATGGGAGAGCAGGGGAGGGAGTTACGCCAAAGGGTAGCGAAAGTGAGGAAGCAAATGGAAAAAAAAGTGGAGGAGACCAGGAAGAAGACGAAGATCATGGAGAGGTAGTGGGATCTTCTTGAAGATGAATTAGTCGCTGATAGCTTCTTGGGAGTGAATTGCAGCGAATGGAAGGGGAAACTGGTGAGCAGATTGGAGAAGAAAGATGGGTTTAAAGCAATGAAGGACGGGTGCTTGATGGTTTTGGTTCGAATCGCCATGATCAATGACTGAGGAAAACAAGAAAATTAACAGAGAGCTTTCTTTTCAAAGTAAAGCTTTCGACTTGGCCGGCGGGAGATAGGGAATTTATGAAACTTTGAACAAAAACTAGAGGATGATGATTGATGAAATGTCTTTAAACTCAACTGTAAACTGACAAACTGTAAAGTTCTTTTTCACGATCCTAGCGGGCCTGAGCTTAATCCTACGTAATAGTTATGATTCCATCATTATTAGGTACTTTCTACGGTGCCTATTTTATTTTCTAGGGTACGGTGCCTTGTTTATGTGGATCAATAAGAATTAGACACGTGGATAAGCAAAATACTGACTGGGCATTCAATTCTAGAAAAAAGTTTGCACTTCAGTCCTTGTGTGATAAACGGGAATTGTAAACATTAACGGAGGTTTCAGTTTTCTGCTCTCTACCAAAACGAGAAGTTCTGTCCCTCTTCCAGGTTGCCTACTATCCACCGCAACCAGTGGCGGCTTCTTCTCTCCATCGCAACCGACGACACATAATCGCGGAAGAGGAATTTAGCGGCAACGGAGGAAACCTGGCTGTCGGAGCACAATCGCGGAAGAGGAAATTAGCCCAATCAACCGCGATTTTCGAGCAATTGAAGGTTTCTCCTGAGAAAATTCTAAAAACTTCGGTATGTACTTGGTTTATATTCATCACATCTATTTTAGGGATTTTTATTGAGAAACAGGTACTGGAATTTTCTTACAAGCTCTTGTTCTCACTTCTCAGAGCATATTTGGCCAAATAAGCTTTTGATTTCTGTTCCAAATAGTCATTTTTTATGCTTCTGTTCTGGCTTTGTTTATTTTCTGTTTTGGCACCAAGGATTATCCTTTTGTTTTTTCTTGATAGGACTGGTGTGAGTATACATAAGAACATGTTTTTATATTAACAATTCCATGGAGGCTTTAACTTTTTTAATTAATGAAAGCACAAAGACATTATTTCTATCCAGCTGTTTATTCTAGTCTCTAGAGTACGCATCGCTCAGAGAGAAAAGAGTGCAATGAAAATATATTATCAGACCTTGCATACAGTGAGTAAGAGACACCATTGTTAACTTCATCAAGGCATATGGAAGAGAAGGAATCAGAACAAAAGTGAGCACCTAGCATCATTACATCATCATCTTATCATGCATTGATGGTCTATAGTGACTTAGCAGCTCCAGAATCCAGTAGTATAGAACAATACCAATACAAGAAAAATGCATTAAATCCATAAATGTATATTACCATATCTTTCAGTTCAAACTTTAGGTATGGCCGTATGGGTATAATAATGTGGTTTTTTTTTTTTGAGTCAATAATGTGGGTTTCTAGTATGCACAAAATGTTAGTGCCAACCCACAGATAAAATAAAGGGAACATAATTGGTCATAACTCTCTTTCATGGGCAAATAAAATCCACAAAATAAAGGGGATAGAGTTGGACCTGAAATCCCTTTTCACAAGCAATTAAAATTCACAGTACCTCATTTAAAAGTATAGCAAGATATGCTCTGCCATTTCTAGAGTTCACCGTTCTTCCACATCCAGTCCCAGGGATCTTAATCCTATATTCGGAAGAGCCTAGGCTTGAAATGCCTGAGCTTGAAGAGCCACATGAGCAAGAGCAAGAGCACAAAATCAGAATCACACTTTGATAAAAAATGTGAAAACCTTGACAAAGTCTGTTCTGACTTGGTTCGTGGGGCCAAGGACAAGAGGCTTAGAGTTAAGGGTCCAGTCACGATTCCCACCAAGGTTCTCCTAATCACCACTAGAAAGTCTCCATGTGGAGAAGGAACCAACACATAGGACAGATTTGAGCTTGGGGTGCACAAGCGTGTTGTTGACCTATTCAGTTCCCCAGAAGTTGTGAAGCAGATCACCTCAATCACCATCGAACCGGGTGTGGATGTTGAGGTCACAATTGCTGATCCTTGGATCAACTTTGAATGTGTTGGACACTCGCGGCTTGCTAAGCCTTGATTTTTGTTCTTTTTTGCTTTGTACTATCCCTGTGAGTTATGGGGGTCTTCTGAATTTCCCTTCCTACCTCCAACCTCTGTAGACTTTATGTATGAGTTTTGTATATTTGATGAAATATGGTGGAACATCTTTGTCAGGAAAAAAAGTATAGCAAGATATTCAGTGGGCAAGAGACGTGCACGAACCGAAAATTCTTTTGTAGTTCTAAGGCGACATCTGTGAGAAACACTTCACGTCCCTTTGTTTTTTCTTGATTAGCAACAAATGCTTATTGCTCCGTAATTGAATGCTCGGTTATAGTTAGCATTTTTCTGTTTCTGTTTTGTTTTCTGATTATTTTGTTTGTAGAACTATTTTTCAGTTCTTGGTAGAAAGGTTTGTGGTTTTGGATTCTTAGTGCATAGTTTTGTTCATCGATGGAGTAGTTCATTTAATTTAATTCACATTACTTGCCTTAATTCAGGGTGGATCAGTAAAGTTTTATTTGAGTTCAAGATGGCTACTAGTTTTTAACAGCTAAAGGGATCCTCACGATGTTGTAAGTAGTGGATGTCTTAGTTAATATTCTTCTTCAATTTTAAACATTACGAGTTTTGTGTCATATGCCTTCTGTTGTTGACAACACAATTTTAGAGAAAAGTGTCAAATAGACCCCCCTACTAATACGAAAAAGTCAATTAAGCCCCCGAACTCAAAAAACACCCAATTAAACCCACGAATTATAAAAAACGAGGCAAAATAGTCCTTTTAGCATGTAATTAACCGGTTCCCGGTTCCATTAGTCCACGTGTCGCCACGTGTTGCCATTTTTGGCCACCTATCGGCTATTGCCACGTGTAAGGGTTTACCTGGAATCGGTTAATTACATGCTAAAAGGACTGTTTTGCCTCGTTTTTTTTATAGTTCGTGGGTTTAATTGAGTGTTTTTTGAGTTGGAGGGTTTAATTGACTTTTCTGTATTAGTAGGGGGGGCCTATTTGACAGTTTTCCCCACAATTTTACCATATATAGAGTATATGATAATCACAATGGCCACAAATGAACCAAGTCCAACAAAAGATTCTCTTTAATACAGAGTAGAATATAATACAGATTCCTATTTCCCAGGAACTAAGAAAACATATAGATGCTAAATAAGCAGTCATTTTCACAGAATTTATTGAATTAGCAGTCTTATATTATAGATATCGTTTTTTTATAATTAATTAGATTTTTCTACTTTAGGACCTTTTTCCAGTCTTTCAAAAATGTCAGAGCATTGTGAAGAAGTCCAAGTGAGTTTTAATGAAGATGTACTTAAAAATCTAAATGATGGTAGTAATTTTGATGGTGAAGGGTTATTGGCAGTGTTATAAAACAAATCCTGATTTGACACCTGCTGATGTTAAGAAACTCGAATTTGACTCGGATGATGAAGTTTATGACTTTTATTCTTGTTATGCCAGAATTAATGGCTTCTCTGTTAGAAGAGATGATGTGTCAATGCTCTGCACACATTTCCTCATTTAGTTTGGAGTATATTTTGTTGCCAACTTTACATGTAACTGTATTTGTATATCTGTAATTGCTGCAATTTTGGTATGTTACATACTCACTGTTTTTTGAGTCATTTAATTCATTCCACAGGTTATGTTGATTCCATACCTAGAAGATTCAGCCTTCATTTTGAACTCCATCATTTTATCTGGCTCAGAATATTGAGTACTGGCTTCAGTCAAATTTTGGTGGTTTTAGGACTTATAGCTCTTTTAAGACAGTTGGTTTTTAGGGAAGCTAGTTGAAGAGCATGTGTGAGAATCTCTTTACCATTTTATAAGAGAGTGTTCTCAATGACTTGTTTAAAAATAGCTTCTAGGTGTGAAATTCAGCTAAGACCGCATAGTTGAGTTTGTAATTGGTAGATGCTGTATTTTTATGGCTAATTATATTGAGCAAATCGTGTTCGACGCCTATTAATCAAGAATTCATTTGAATGTCTTTCCGATTGAAGTTTTACCTAAAATTTGGTATGAGTAAACTAGACTAAATGAATATGAAGCTAAAAAATTTCATCAAAAAATTCTACCGGGAACCGCCCCAAATGGAGACGGCCAGAGAGAATCTCCAGTATAAGGGCCTATTTGACCTTTTCCACTGTAATAGCTAAGTCTTAAAACCTTTAACAATTTTGTTTGATGGTTGAAGCTTTAATAATAATAGTAATTTTATCAATAATTATAGTAATAACAAGATTAAATAATAACAAAAAGTGACAAGGTATGATACTTATTCGGTGCCTTAATTTCCATCCAATAAAAAAATTCTTTCTCAAACTAAAATGATGTACGTATTTATTTAGGTTGATTTTAAAACTTAGATCAGACCATAGTTGAATTGTATGGACTAGACCATAGTAGTAAAAAATACTTACACCATATCATTCCATCTAAAGGTATAATTTTGAGAGAATACCCTAAATAGGAGTAAAAATGTTTTGAAATTTCAAAATAGGAATATCATGTTTTTTATTCCCTGAATAAGAGTACATTTCTGCGAAGTTTGACATTATAAGGCTTTAAACATGACATTTTTTTTTTCAAATCTGGCAAAATACTCCTATTGAAGGAATACTAGTTTGCCATGAAAGACTTAGGTGATGTGCATC